TGAGCTCATTAGTGATGCATCCCAATGAGGAGGAAGTCAGGCAGAAATACTGGGAGGCCTGTGTGGATAAGGAAGTTGCTTCTTGATGAACTCAAACATGAAAAGGAAGGCTATGAAGGGTGGAAGGCAGTGACAGATACCCTGGGAGAAATACAGACAAACTGTTTGAGTAGCCAGGTTAGGAAAGCTAAAGCCGTGATAGAACTAAATCTAGCCAGGGATGTCAACGGCAACAACAAAATCTTCTGTAGATACATGGGTGGTAAGAGAAAGACTCAAAGTAAACGGCGTATTTGGGTCACTTGGGATATGGAGAGGGCTGAGGTACTCAAATTTTTTGCCTCAGTCTTCACCAAGTGCTCCAGCCCACACCATTGAAGTCATGGCAGCAAAGGCAGGATCTGGGAGAATGAGGAACCACCAGCTGTAGGAGAACATGTTGAAGACTATCTGAGGAATGTAAGGGTGCTCAAAACAATGGGACCTGATGAGATGCACCCATGGGTCCTGGCGGAATCGACAGCTGAAGTATCTCAGCATCTATCCATCATATTTCAGAAGTCATGGGAGTCTAGTGAAGTTTCCACTGACTGGAAAAAGGGAAACATAAGCCCCATTTTAAAAAAGGGAGATAAGGAAGACCTAGGGAATTAGAAGTTGGTAAGTCTCACCTCTGCCTGGCAAGATCATGAAACAGATCCTCCTGGAAACCATGCTAAGGCAAATGGAAAATAAGGAGTCATTTGATGGCAAACATGGCTTTGCTGAGAACAGATAATGCCTGACAAAATGGTGGCCTTCTACAACGGGATGGTAGTGTTGATAGGAGGAGTGACTGTCATTATCTCCCTAGACTTGTGCAAAGCATTTGGCACTGTCCCACATGATGGCCTTGTCTCTAAACTGGAGAGACATGGATTTGACAGATGGACCAGTCAGTGGATAAGGAAATTGGCTGGATGGTCACACTCAAGGAGTTGTTTTCAAGGGCTCCCTGGTCCAAGCAGAGACCTGTGACAACTGGAGTTCATTGGGGTTGGTCCTGGCACTGGTGCTGTTCAATATCTTTGTCAGTGACACGGACAGTGGGATTAAGGGCACCCTTGGTGAGTTTGCCAATGACAGCGAGCAGTGTTTTGCAGTTGTCACACTGGAGGGAAGGATCCTCAGGGACCTTGGCGGGGTTGGGAGAAGAATCTCTGTGAACCTCATGAAGTTCAGCTAGGCCAAGTACAAGGTTCTGCTGGTGGATTGGGACAATGCTAAGTACAAATACAGGCTTGGCAGAGAATGGATTGAGAACAGTCTGAGGAGAACTTGAGAGTGTGGTTTGATGAGAAGCTGAATGTGACCTGGCAGTGTGTGCTTGCAGGCTAGAAATCCAACCACATTCTAGATATTAGGAAGAAATTCTTTACTGTGAGGGAGGTGAAGCACTGGAAGAGGTTGCCTGGAGAAACTGTGAATGCCTCATCCCAGGAGGTGTTCAAGGCCAGGCTGGACGGGGCTGTGAGCAGCTGTTTCTAGGGGAAGGTGTCCCTGCCCATGGGAGAGGGATTGGAACTAGGTGATCTTTAAGGTTACTTCCAACCCAGAACATTCTGTGATCATACGATACAGTCCTGGGAGGTGTCTCAAGTGATAAGCTTTTTTTAACATAGTACTTGCTTTCAACCATATGAGGATAGATCTGTTTAATACAAAACTCTGGTCTAGGTTGTAAGAGGAGATAATTTTTAGGGTACTCTCTTAACTTGTTTCACTTTCAAGGAGAAATGTAGTTAATCCTTCAGCCCATCACTGAGATCTGTGTGATTATCAAATTAATTATCTGGCAGCTGGTTCGGGGCCACTCACATTTCCTGCTTCACTCTATTTTAATCATTAGCAGCAGCACTATGAGTTGCAGTGAAGTCTCACAGTGGCAGAGGCTTATGTGAGAGTTAACCTTACACTTGTGTGTGTTGTGTGAACACGGATAATATGCTGTATTCACTGACAGGAAAGGAGGAGCACAGCTGGTTCTGTATGGCATGCCCTTCCTCAGCATTGTACCAGGCTTTAAAGGGCTTGTGCTCCTGGTGTGACTGGCACCACGTAGCGACATATGATGCCACTTCTAATATTCTTTGGCCCTTCAGACTTTGCAGTCACTCGCCCTAGAGTTGTCTGCTCTGACAGTGGCACCTGTGTTTCAGTTACTTTTGAGTTTGATGTAGAACTGTCACAGCAGGTAACACCAAAAGTGAAGAGTAGTAATGCAGCTTAAGACAGGATCTGGAGCTTTGCAGGTTGTAAGATAAAGCTGTGACTGCTCTGGATTTCCCACTGTCTACCTTCTGTGTTGTGAAAGCCAGCAGTCACAGAATAGATATTACTGGTTAACTTTGGACATGAAGAATTCTGCAAGTGAATAAATTATAAATTTATTATAGTTATTTTATAATAATCGGTATAATTATTTAACTAAGGTTTGAAACCTTAATGTAATATTTTGCAGTTTAGAGGGGGCATTCAACTGTGGTTGTAGTTTGCCTGTTACAGACTGCTGCCATGGATAGAAAAATAACCATTCTAGAATAATTCACTGCAAAAGTATTTGAATGCTGTTACAGAGATGATATATGTGCTTTGTAAGAAGCAATTTTCTAGTATTAGAAGGTGTAGCAGCAGTATTTAATGCTTCTTTGACATGAGCTGAACAGAATACTTCTTTGAAGTAAGTCCTATTTCTATACATCTCCTAAAAACTGCTCACAGTTTATTTGACTTTTAAACTAGCTATTATTTTTTAGAATAGTCTGTAATTTGTTTTCCATTAATCAAAACAAATATCCTGGCTTTGAATGCAAGAGAAGGTCTGACCTCAAATTTGATTGTTTTTAGATCAGGAGTTAACACTTAACCAAACCAAAGTACTTCCACTTTTTATGCCCACAGTTGGTATGAAACGTCTGCTGAAACAGTATCGGTGGGTTTTTTGAAGTGTTCTGCAAGTAGTTCTCTCCAGAGCATGCTTGTGTGGTGGCTTGTTTGAGGGGTTATTTTAGTAAACTAAACCTGAAAATGTGCTAAAGCTGTTAAAAATTGCAGTCTCATTGACATACAGCTGTTTTCCTTTCTTACCCTATATCTGACATTGAGCTCATAATTTATTAGATGTTTGCTGCGATTATTTACTGAGTGACTGGGGACTGGTGTGAGTTTTATCTTGAAGAAACAAAGCAGGCTTTATATTTTAAATCTGGCTTTGAAACCTGAAATTACCAATGCTCAGCTCAGAGCACAAACCATACACTGGTTTGATGAAACAGCTGGAACAGCTTTAGACTGCAGTGCAGTTGCTAACTGTGCTGCTGTTGGTGTCACTGACCAAAGTTAGGTTATCAGCGTGCCCAGGGCAGCCTTGGTGTCTGGACACTTCTGGGTCTGCATGTGTTGGATGCACTGTCAGGAGCTGCCACAGGTCGTGCCTGCACTGTAGATGAAGTAAAGCTGGTTCTGTAAGGTGAAGCCAGCTTTAGCTGGTATATCTGTCATATCTGAAGGAGTTTGTTGAAGAATTGGCAGGGAATTCCTATGTCTTTTGCCACCTTTGTGCTTTCTCATTCTGGTCTTTCTGTTGTGACAGTCTTGGGGTCCTCTTCAACAAATACAGCAACTGATATTGGTTGATGATTTGTCTCATCACATTGCACAAATGTGATAATAAGCCAACCAACCACATATATTCTGACACTTATTATGCTTCCTGCATTTAAAAATAAAGAATGCTCTCTGGAGATTTATATTTTTTCTCTACCCATCTTTTACGAAGGTCTTTCAGTGTTCTTCATCCTTTATGAATAAATTTAGTTTTCATGCAGACCAGTTCGTAAATGTTTGTGGTGCATTCAGTTTTCCCGAACTTGCTATTTCATCAGCTCATATGTTATACTACTTGTTACAGATAAACAAAGGTTTTTTACTTAAAAAAGATTAATCCAACACTTGCTAGTAACTTCCTGTATTTCCTAGTTCTTTGTGCACGTACCTTTCAAAGGCAATATGTTGTTTCCTTGAACATGGAACTAAATAGCTGCATTTAATGTCACTGTATGTTTCAAAATATTTCTGAGTTTTAACTTGGTTGTTAGTCAGTTTGTTTGTTTGGTTGCTTTTGTTTTAGCAAGACCAGGTCATTGAAGAATGTGTAAATTGATATATTAGTGTTTCATCCTAATTTGGAAAAAATTATATAGGCTCTTGTTACCCTAGGGAAACCACTTGTAGTCCTTGCTATTCTAATACTTTTTTCTTATTTATTGTTGTTAGCCCAGATTATTCTTTATTCTCTTACTTAGCTATCTGTTATCTATCTCCTTCTTGTCCACTGTATTAATATGTCTTGGTATATAATTTTGAAGTCTGCCTGTAAATGTGGGGGAGATGAGCTTTCAGTCTGTCCTTTTCTCTGTCAAAGTAAGGGTGTTGGTGGCAACTGCTTGTGTTCTGAATTTTAGCTGGTAAGAGATGCATGGATTTAGTTGATGAGAGATGCATGGACTGCATGTCCTCATAGACTGTCCAAGCAGTTACTCATGATTCCTTACATAGAAGAGGTGGCAGACTGAAGGTACAGGGCATGAATATAATTGAGGAGAATATATTTAGAATGTAGTGAGTAGATGACTGACGTGTTAGTAGTTGAAAGAGTTCATACTAATTGTAAATTATCACTGAAGTTCTGAGCTAATGGTTTTGAATTGTCCAGCTTGAGATACCCTGTTCCTTACCATATTCTGCTTTTAAAATAAGGTCTGTGAAACATTGGCGGTTATAGATGACATTTGATAAACATATAAATAAAGTAAGAACTGAAATGAGCACCTTTTTGCCACTGTCAAGAGCTTCATGTTTTTGTCGTGTGGAATAACAGATAAAGGGTTTGTGGGTTTTTCTGCAATACCTGCTGAGTAAGAGAGCAAGCTTTGGTAGCAGTCCTTCCACTAAGACGTGTCTTTTTTTTTTTCTCTTTCTTGATTAAGAACGACTTTTCCCATGGTGACTGCATGTCAAGTAATGAGACCAGTTTGCTAGAACGAACCACAGCACCTCATGATGGACTCCCAGTGGCTTCCCACAGACCTCAGAGAGAAGGTATGTTGTCTGAGCTTCCTTTTGAGGAAGGCTTCTAAGGGTTTCCTTGAACATTAAACTCTCCTTGGAGTTGTAGACATCTTGTATCTTTCTTGCTGTTACAAGAAGCTGCAATGATTGGTAAGTAAAATAGCTTCTCTGCCACCTACTTGGTCTTTTCTTTGTTATAACAAGTTGTCATTTGTGTTAACTGCTAACTGCTATGAATGCCTGCATGAAAATCAGCCGCAAATGGGCTTCCCACTGAAAAAAGGGTCGGTCAGGATTTGGGGGAAAACAAGAACATATAATGCAGTTGTATTAAGAGTATTTGAATTTTTAAAGCAAAGCTAAACACAAAAATATTGAGAAGCAGTCCATAGATTTTGCTGCTTGATTCAGTTGTATTTGATTACATTAAAAAAAAATTAGCAAAGAAAACCCACATTAGCAGGTGTTATAGAAATGGCAGTTTGGAGAAGTGAAAGGCTTAATAGGAGTCACTGTTTTGGCTTGGGAGAATAAGAACAAGGCTTCTGAGCATAAACAAAACTCTGATATGCCATTGCCAGCACAATATTTTCTCTTTGAAGAAGTAAGCATTATTGAAAACAGATTTATTCTCACCCTTTATTCTTCAATAGGATTAGCAAGTTACTTGTCTACTCAAAATTAGTCAACAGATAGTGTGCAGATAGGAAGGGGCCTACAATATGGAAAAACGATTGCTATTCATTTTGTCCTCATAAATGTCCTTTTGTCTCTAGTGTGGAGATTTAACTGCACTTTGAAGGCAGGCAATTTGAGAGATTTGATTCCTTGAAAAAAAAAATACAAGAGGAAGATAATGGCAGATTACAGACAACAAACCTGTTTCAAATCCTTTTATGGAGTTCAAAGTGTTCGTATTCATGAATTAGAAACATTAAAGGGGGAATCTCTTTAGTAACGCTCAAATTGAGTAACAGAAGCACAAAAAATTTGAATAACTTAATCTAGCAATGAACTTAAATATTTTTCCGCATTTGTATTATCATAGTGAGAAACCGCAGTGAAGGATAAGAGTACCTTTGTGATATTTGCTACACAGTTATGTGGTAGAGATTCCCTGCTGCAGAAATCCCCTTACTGGTTAGAAATATCACTGATAGTAAAACTCAGGTTTTATTCTCAGCTGTGATGAATATGAATTTTTAAAATCTTGACTTAGAATGGAAACAGTGTCATGTATACATGCTTTACTTAATCATCCTGGATGCATGTGCTGTGTCCAGAATAGAGGTAGAGATGTGACACGCCTCATTGGCTTGTGTATTCAAACTTTTCTTCCAGCCATTTAGAATATTTAAAATGTCTTTATGGAGACAGAATTATAAAGGAGTCTGTTGAAACTGTAGAACTAAAGCTGTGCAGCAACAACAGTGTAATTACCTGTTGTATCATGCATTACAATGAAGCATGCAGCAGAAAGAAGTTAAGGAAGTTGAAGGTACTGCATTGTGTAATAAGTTTTTTTATACCTGAGGACAAATTTTTAGCATTGAGAACACTCAATAGTTTAAAATAAGCAGTCTCATTAGGGAAAAAAGCTTGTCTGTGAATGTTAATGGTCTTAGTTTCATAATTGTGTATGCTAAATATATGCATGTAGTGGAATGCAATTTAAACCACTTTTCTCAGTTCCAGTCATGGGAATCAACTTCTTAATTAACTTATGAATATGAATTCCGATATCAATTTGAATGTTAGCCATTAAGAAATTTTTCTGCAAAAAAACTTTTGTTGTGCCACGTTCCTCCTTCTAACAGCACTTTAATCTATACCAGACAGGTAAAAATTAAGGTCACTAAACATTAATCTTTTCATGAAATATTGTTATAGTCTGGCATCCTTAGCTCATCTCAGATTTCTTTCCTTTGTAATAATAAATCTTCATTAACTGGTAAATATGAAGTGCTTGTCTGTTTTCCTAACTCCCAGCTGGAGGATTACAACCATTGTATAGCAGCACATTCAGTATTTATCTCTCTACTAAGAAAATTGAAAGCTATAGCACTATCACTAGACTTATTTGCTGGCTTATTGTTCCTTTATGGAAATTGCCAATGCTTAATTCACTTAAAAATGGCTTGTTTGATGGGGATGAGATTTGATTTGTAACTGCAACAAAATTAATTTAAAACTGTTTACATTATATTAGATGATAATTAGCTAATATCCGTTTATAAATTTTGCAACATACAATTACAGGAGGTTTAATTATTTTTTTTCAGGAAAAGACACTGTTGTTATGGGTAGTTCCGAATATATCCCATGTAAACATGCATTTAAAAATTGAAAGGAAAACATTAGCTGTTAAACCACCCACCTCCCTCCAAAAAAAGTAGCTTCTAAAGCATTGAAAGGAAGCATTGATGAGGTAGGGCAGGTGGATCTGCTTTTAAATATTTTTTTTCTTTACATGTAAAGATGTATTCAAGCTTGCACTAGAATAAAATTCTCTTGAATTCTTAGGCCAGCATAGCAGCAAAACTGGAAAGCCCATCTTGGCTATATAAGGGGTTTTATATGGAGTATTACCTGAGCAATGCTGTGTGCCCTCAAGAAAGTCTCCAGGCCCTGAAAGCCATATGGTGCTGCAGTTTGCCAGGTCACTGCCAGAACTCCCTATTGTTGTGTACAGTAGGCTCTGGGGAAGGAAAGTGAAATTAGCCAGTACTTACAGTACCTTTGTTCCCTCTCGGTTCAATTCAATGACACTCTTTGCAGTACAACTGTCAAAGCTTTCTGCTTCTTCTTTGTTTTCTGTTTGCTGACACTCATTTCTGTCTCCTTCAGGCCTTCCCTAACTAATTCTTTTCACCTAAGTACCCTCAGAAATGTGGGTATTTGGCCTTAGTTTGCCCTCATTTACTATTTTGATGCTTCTGATGCCTAGGTGTAGAAGGTACTGGCTGGTTTTTATCAGCACTTGTTACTTCTTGAAGTAAAGATACCATTTGACTTCCTTTTACTGTCTTTTCACTTAGAGTGGTTATATTGTTGTAGTTATGTGACATTTGGTGTAAATAAGCTCTTGGGTAATGCATAGATTCTCATGATGCCATTAGGCCAGAGAAATACTTAGAGCAAGGTTCTACCTGCTCCCAGCAGTTTGTTGCAATACAACAGCTCCTAAGGAAGAGTTGCACTGTGTGCATCAGGATTTAGCCTACAGGCATGCTCTGAGAGCCTGGGAAAGTAAGGAATGGTTTGCAAACTGTCAGTTTTGGAGTGCACAATAAGGTGTTTTTCTTTCAGCTGTACACATTGAGAAGATAACCCTGAAAGACGTATCAAGAAAAAGGGCTGACAAACATTTGGAGTACACATTCAAAGTAAGCACATAATCTCTAGGATGTTAAAATTATTGTCTATATACTGCAGATACATACAACTTGTTTCAAAAACCTTCACAGGAGGCAATTTTGAGATTCTTTGGATTATCTTGTGATTCTTTTGAATTCTGTGTACAAATCAGGTGTTTTACGTAACTGTGGGCATAAAGTGTGAGGGCATAAGGTGGGAACATATAAAACATCAGCCATAGCTAGGTGTGTGACATCAGTTCAGGAAACTTGGCTTTTTCTAACTCATAAGAATTCTAAAACTAGAAGTTTTAGAATGCTCAAGCGGCACAGGAGCGCAGGTGTGTCTGCAGATTGCTTGGAGTCATATGGTCGTCTTGTTTCTCGCTGTTTACCATATGAGAGTGGAGCCTGTGCTTTTTGAGAAAACTGGAGATTGGTGCCTTTGTTTTGGACTTTGTTTCTTAAGGCAAAACCAAACAAGCTGGAAAACAGCCAAAAACTGGACAGCCTATCTAGTGTAGTCTTCATCTATGGTAGTAGCTAAGGGCAGCACGTATTAAATGATAGTTACTAAGGCTGGTGGTGGTGATGCTCTAGTTGAATCAAAGTAGTAATTTTCTTAGCAAGGGCTGACTAACACCATGAGTCATTGTGCCAATAGATGTGAATCTGATATTATACCAGATTTGAAGTTAATGTTCCCCTTTTTCACCCAAAAAAGAATGGTTCACATCAAACATTCTAACTGATCTTTTGAATGGGGGATGTTTTTGAAGAAGCAAACTTAAAAAAAAGCCATTTTGAGCTGAAAGTTGGTGTGTTGATCACAGAATTTGGTATTGTACTCTGTGATGTTGTATTCTCTAAAGAGATGCACTCTTCTTTTGTTGAGGACAGTAATATGTGGAAGGCAGCCTTCAAAGTCTTTAAGGTTAACCTGGCCAAATATTTCAACCACATCATAGATTTTTTTCCAAATAGTCTATGAAGTGAGTATGAAGTAAACTACAGTAGGAGATGGGGAAAGTTTGTACAGAATGTCTATAGGGATTATAAAAATTTAAAATAAAAAAACTATATCAAAGATTCAGCATGTAGACAGTTTTGACAGTGGTTTTGAATTTCTTTGTTAAAGGGGGAATGTGGAGATATTCTGGTGATTATTTCAGTAATCTTGAAACTCCATCTCAGTTCTTTTAGGAAAGAGTTTCCTTTCCTCATCTGTGCAGGTATATTCTGTGCTCTTCACAGTAGATAATTTTGTACTTGCCCAGACACTGCTGTTTTTTAAGGTTATAACAGCAATTGCAGTCATGGCTTCCTGGCTGAGGACACTGAGGGTAGTTGGTATTTTTAGGGACTGAGTTGAAGGCAGTTGGTGGGTGACATTACTCTATCAACTCCTGAGAGTAAATGAATGTTTGTAATTGTTGTGTCCACTCCTGTTACCCTGAATCTTCCCATGTAACTAATTGGAATCTTTGGCCCAGAAGTGGGCTTAAAGCCAGGCAGCACTCATCTAACCAAGCTTACTTATTTTTTACTCAAAACATGCATGTGAAGGTGCTGTTTTACTACTTGCATGTCGTGTCAAAACAATAAGCTACTGAAATTTTATACAGGCATATGCCAGAATGTTGTCTGATTCTTGAGTGCCTTCTTCAGTAACTTGCAGTACTTTTTATGACTTGTAGCCTAAAATAACTGCTATATGATTGTGTAAGATTTGAGTCTGAGGCAGATAAAATTATTTTATAGGTAATATAAACAGATTTTTTGTTTCGTTTTGACTCCTGGTAATGACAGTGAGAGCTCAATGCAATATATCTGACCAACAGTCATTTTCTCTGGTACCTATTTTTTTGTGGTTAATTATTTCTGTTTGATACAACTCCCATAATTACAGAGCCCTTCTGCCTGGCTTCTTTGTGAGTCAGTAATCTTCAGGGACTTCATTGTATTTCCTTGAATTTGCCCATGCTCCCTTTAGCCACAAATAACATGAAGGTGATCCTAAAATACACACTCAAAATTAGTATGTCTTTGAAAAAGTACAGCCTTATCCCTGTTTTGCCTGGTGTTTGCTTAATTGCGAGTGTTAATTCTGAGACTGCCAAATTTATGAAATTGTTCTGACAAGCTAATTGCTATGAAATTGGGAGAAAGGCACTTTCCTCATTCTTTTTTCCTTCATTCTAGGTAACCTGGTCTGATTTTTCTGTAACATGTGTAACAAAAACACATCAGGAGCTTCAGGAATTCCTGCTAAGAGTATGTATTCAAATATGAAAGTAGTGTTTATACATCAGGATTATAACTTCAGAAATAGTCTAGGAGAGCTATGATTTCTGAGGTGTAATTATAGAAACAAAAGCATGCCAGCAGATTTTTCTACTTCACAATTGTATTAACCATTTAATTATATATATGTTGGAGTTAAGGATCTTGACAGAAGAAGCAGCCTTGGAGAATATTTGGGGAGTTTCCCAGGAGGTGATTGTTTGTCCCATCTGAAATGGCACTTAAAGTTTTAATTGAACTACCATAAAAGTACCAGATGAGGTTTTAATATTCCCCACAGACCTCATGTATAGGTACAGCCACTGGTTGTTTGCTTGTGTTCCTGCTAGAAGGACCTTAAAGAATATAATTTGTTATGTTTAATTAGTGGGACACAGCCATAAGCATAATAGTTTTTAATTTAGCTGTGGTATTCTTCAGTAGCACAAAGGCTGGCCTGTTCATCATCACAAGAAGTTCAATTTGAGGAAAATCTAGCACTATATGTGTGTGTGCATCCATGTTTAAAAAAACCAAAAGTTCACTCAGTTGTTTTCTCCTCTGCTCTGATCAGAGAATACATTTCTGTGCATAGGCCATGTGCAGACCCCATCAGTGTGATGACCTTGAACTGTGTGTTCATTGTCAGTGTCTGATATTTTGGGTTCCACCTATTCTGGGAAATTATTCTATATTAAAACTCTTCCCTACTCAGGGCAGTAATGAGGGATCTGTTTTGGACATGTTTTGATGATATCTGGGGTTCTTAACTGCAGTGTTAATTGCAAGTGGAAAGCCAGTCACTGTACAAAGGTCATTGTCTTGTTCACTGTTTAAATTATCAACATTGTTTTCTGGTATTCTAGAAATTAAGCAGTGAATATTAATCTAGTTGAATATCTGGTTCTAAGAGTTCCCAGAGCTTGGTTTTGGGGACTTTAAATTATGGATGGCATGTCTGGTTGCAAGTGGGTTATTCCACAGCTTAGGGTACATGCATCTGCCCCTGAAGAGAGCCCTAAAAACAGCAATTCGTACAGGGTCCTGTGCAGCTCTTGGATGAACATTCACATGCATGCCCCCGTTCTCCCACATGTGTAAGACAAACATCAGTGTCTGAAATGGACCTCCTAGAACATACTTGCTTCCTGGAGGAGCCAGGAAAACAGACATGGTCCAGTGTGTTGAAGAGTTCTGCTGTTTGGCTGATGTAGGGTGTTCGATGTGCTGGCTTGCATGTTCCAGCAGTGTCTAGGACATGGCAGAACAAGAAGAAGACAACCACAAGTTGCTATGAGCTTCCTGAGGTCTTCTGTGGAAAATGTGCACAGCTGAAAAGTATATTTGGTTTGATAGCTGTAGGTATAGAAGTAAGAGAGCATTGTTAAGTAAAGCAGGACAGAACTTATTTGCATTAAAAGGCATAAAGCACAAACATCCACTTCATATGCCCTTATGTTTTGGCTTTTTGTTGTTCTTGTTCCAATCTACATGGCATTGTTAAGTAGTATGCTCAGGTTCCTGGGGACAGAAAATAATGGTCAAAATACTTGATGGAAAATTCCAATGCTGCACATGATAGAAATAAGATAATGGTAAAAATTGTTTCAGAATAGAGGCATTGTTGGGAAAACTAAGGTAGTAAATGGCATAACTTGGATGCTTAAATTAAAGGCTGGCTTCTCTTAGATGATAAGCCTAAAATTTTTTTGCAAGTAAGAAATTACCCACATATGTGGAAGGACTGATAAGCTTGTAAGTAAGTAACAAGGCTGTCTCATTACCTTCAGCACCTAATCTTGGGTTCGTATAACTGAATCTTTAACTACAGAAGGAATTGCATTCCTTTTAATGGAAGTTTTAAAGACAAGAAGGTAACTGTTTCCAGAGACAAATCTACATAGAAAATACTAGGATAGGAGATTTGATCATTCCTACACTTCTGCAGTAACTTCCTGATACCTTTTGGCTAGCACTGACTAATTCTTCAGTCAGAGTTCCTCAGTAATGCTTATTAAAGCCAAAGGGTCTGTTAAGAACAGCTACTTTCAGCCCTTTGTGGTTTTAGATACAAGACATTTCAGGTGTTGTAGTACTGTACTAACATAATACTAACAGCACCTGTCTGTCTGGATTCCAGGAGTTCCTCTTATGTATTTTACCAAGCAATTCTCTGCATCAGACACAGCATCCCTCTGTTAGTACCACTTGATTCAGTGAAAGAACTACTGAGTGCTGGGCTGCTGTTCCAGTAGCTGGATGCAGTGTCCAGCTGGCACTCTGAGCCAGGTGTATTCCAGATATACAAGATGAAGATGCTGCTTTAGTGTAAATTACTGAGTGCTGTTGATCATAATTGGTGGCAGATGTTAACCACATCAGCAATAGCTTTGAACTTCAATTTTAAAAACAGCCTTTTTCAGTGGCAGTTTACTCTAAATTGCAACATATTAAAATATTTTTTTTTAAATGTAGATTAACAAGTTTGATCAGCTTTGATGTACTTTAATACAATATTTGAAAGTTCTAAAGGTGAAAAAACTTTGTTCTGGGGAATAGTCTTCATTTAAAATAGATGTGCTCTTAAGTAGCAAGCATTTTGCCTTCTCAACTAGAACATCAGAAGACCTCACTTTGTACTATTGCCATTGGAAAGTTATAATGAATTTTGATAAGGTGTTTCAGTGTTTATAGCAACTGGGGAGGGACTCGCTATTGATTAATCTCAGTGTTCCCTGCTGAAGTCTAGTGTATTAAATAACTGAAATGGTTTCCTTTCTACTCCCGTTTATTTAAAATAGTTTAGTCTAGCTAAGTGATGATAGTGAGTAGAGTGCATTCAGTCACACCTGTTTTTTTTTTTTTTGTGTTTTCAGAACTAATTTCTATATGTGAAAGATTTAAAGAAATAAATTATAAAAAAGGCTATAAACTATCCTGAAAAGACCATAGTATTTTGTAGTAATTCCTTCAAATAGAGCTTTAAACAGTTTTATACCTGGATTTTCTGTGAGGATTTACAGCAAAGTGTTTCTCTTGCAAAACTAGATGATGTTGATTTGTTGTACCTTTGGTTTGTAAAACACATCACTCAAACTGAAACAATTGAGTTTCTTGTTGATACCAAAAGGTATAAAGACTCACAGTGAACAAATACAGTCTTTAAAATGTCAACTACTCATTTTTCACATTAACCTTTTTCTCAGCTCCCAAAGGAACTGTCTTCTGAAGCATTTGACAAGGCTATTTTAAGAGCACTAAATCAGGGTTTTCAGAAGAGGGAAGAACGAAGGCATGCTGATCTTGAGCCCATAATCAGGTAAATGTTTTAGCAAATAGCCTGAAATGCAACACCAGAAAAGTGATTGAAGTCAAGCTAGAAGACTTCTATGGCCAGTGGAAATTCTGCTACCTAAACCAAATTTGCAAAGAAAATGGAAGGCAGTGATGAAATAGATACTCTTGACTCTTAGATTTTCTTTAAATTAAGACTTTTAGTAAACTTCATAGAATTACTTCTTTGGAAGTAATTGCACAATTATGAAAATATTTGTCCTAAGCAGCGTTATATAGTAATGATTGGTATTTGTGGAAGAATACTACCTCTTTTACAGGGGTATATTTAGAAATACTAGAAACAGTAACTCAGAGCCCATATGTTCTACTTTTTATGACAGGATAGAGTGAGAGACAGAACGGAAATGCAAAGGTATAAACTGTAATAGTGAAGTGTGTATATTAAATTAAAAGTAGCTCATGTATTTATAAGAAAATGGCCCATATCTCATGACCTGCTATTTAGTGATGAGAGAGCTTGGTGGTCAAATTCTATAACTCAGAACAGTAATATGAATTTGGGTTTGCCTACTTGGTTTTGGGGTTTTTTTCCTGGTTTGGTACAGATACCTTGTTATCTTTGTCCTTTTCAGTCAGGATTGTTCAACCTTGTTGAAAACAAATTATTCATCATGTTAGGCAGTGTCACTTGGGTTGGGGTAGTTGAGGAATCAGGCACTGCTTTTCAAACCCCTACTCATAATGTTCTGTTGGTTCTAGCATTTTGTCCTAATATTTCAGTTAAAGAAGATTTGGAGCCACTCTGAACTTCAACTACCCCCTTGCCAATTTTTAAATAAATCTTGATCTGTAATATTTGTCTGTCTTTATTGGCTTGATTGTCAAGCCAGAAATTAATTTCTGTGAACAGTTTTGGCTGATAAACATAGTGGTTTTAAATCAATAAACCTGTTAAACAGAGGTTGAAGGAAATGTATTGTAATACAGAAAGGTTGTGAAGCCTCACTGCACAGTAATTACAAACCCAAGAGACTCACTTGGAAGATAACCTTTGAACATACACAACTGTGATAGAGTAAGCAGCTGTAATTACAATTTGCAGGTTGTGTTGTGACTATACAGAAATGCTACATGAATAATATCAAGCGAATAGCATTACTGTATTCACATTCCTTTTTCTTTCAGTATCAGTTTTAACATAAATATTTACTTATTTGGGGGTTTCAGTATGTGCCCATTTGCCAAAAATTGCTCTCCCCTGCCCCTCCTCTAAAGAAATAGAGCTGGGTAGTGCCTCTTGGCAACTAATATCTGAAACTTTTGTGTGTGGGCAATGAAAACCATTAATTGTTGTCCTATTTTCTTATTTGAAGCTAATAAAATTTGTCATTGACATCTTGGTAACTGACTCAGACCAGTGCAGAGCAATGTTGAGCATCCCGCCCTTTGCTCTTGGAGATAATTGCAAAATTCAAATACCAACCTTATAGGTGAACTCAACTTTGTATTTACCCTTCAAATGCATATAAGAAAGAGGTGCATTGTTTTGGGAAAATAAATGTGTTCTCAGTTTAAAAATAAAACAGTTAAAATACAGAGTCCAGTGCTTTTGAACTCAATCCAAACTCCTCTTTAAGAAAATGTTACAAGCGGCTAAAATGTTTGAATTAGGATGACTCAAAAGCACCTATCTTTTTAAATTCAAAAAAATCATCATGCCAATTGCTTATGTTGTCTGTCTCCAAGCTCACACTAGCACTTAACAGCAAAGCTCAAAAGTAGTTTTTAGCATTGTTGAATGTGCAATTTGAAGGGTTTGGACTTCTTGAGAACTGCCAGTTTTGCTTTTAAATGGTACTGTAGTACGTTTTTGTGTTTTTCCTATGATTCTGTTACTTAGTTTAACAAATTCTCACTTAAATTTCAGGCAGCTATTTTCAAATACATCACAAGCTTTTCTGCAGAATCAGAGAGTATACAACTTCTTCCAATCAATTTCATCAGAATCTTTGCACACTCACAGTAAGAAATATCCTAATACTGTTTTATATTATGAAAAATCTATAAAAAGCTAATCTTGCTGCTGTGCCTAAGTACAGTTTTTCAATTTCTTGTTTGTGTGTTATATTCCACTGGTTGTATTTGAACTCCTGGTAAATGAATAGTTTCTCGAGCAGATACTCATACTTCTGACAGTGGGAACATGCTATGTAGCATCAGCCTGTGTTCTTTTTGTTCTTTCATTCTTTCTTTCATTCTTCTCTGCACCGTCATGCTCTTCAAATAGGCTGTTATGAATTGAATATGTTTGAGTATGAGTATGTTTGACATTTCTTCATTTCACAAAATTTAAATTTTGGAACAAAAAGTTTGAACTGACTTGAAAAATCACATCTGCTTTTTGTTTGTTTTCTTTTGTAGATAAGCATCTCTCTTGATATTTAAACTGAGATTTGTTTTGAGTACATAAATTATGGGATGTCCCTAATTTCAGAACATACAGAATTGTGTACCATCATTTATATTGCACAGATTTCTTTGGTGGCCCTCTTAACCTACTTGTGTATTACAGTTTGTGTAACCAAAGCTTGACTTCCCTGTATGAATGCCTTAGTATGATGTTATCTTTGTTTCAATTGAATCTTTCCTTATTTCAGTGCATGTTACACACATGACAGTTGAGGCACTCACTGGGAGGCCACTGCCTCAGAAGTTGCAAAAGATCTTAGTAGGAAATTGAATAGATTGGAGATTCCAAATAGACAGCTCATATTTGTTTGGGAAAAATAGAGGAATGACAGCTGACTTCAGTTTGAAATTATGTGTGTGATCTGTGAGTGGTGTATTCTTTCCATGATGAGATAGAAGCACTGTGGTTAGGGTAGAAGCTGTAGGTCACTTTGTAACATTTTTTAGTAACACTTAGTACATTCTTACATGGCAATTTTGTGAAAATGCTCAACTAATTACAAGGTAATTGTGGAACTGGCTGGAAATTAGGGCTGTAAAAATTGACGCCTCTGTTGTACTGTGCATGGGGAGGAAAGAGTTTCCAAAGTCCAGAAAGATTCATATTAATGATGGGCACACTGGACAGGGTGTGCATATTTTAGACTTCAGACTTCATCTGGTTGGGAAGTACTTGCAGATGCATTGTTATACATGGTAGTACTTTGAAATGGTTTCAGGAATGAACCAGTGCCAAGTTCCATCAAGACAGTTGACTGGGCAGAAATGATCTGCAGGGTGGGTAGATCAGAAGGAGAACAGACAAATGTCAATTCTGTCAGAAGTCTTATGGATTACAAAGTGATCTTAAATGTGAGATAATTTTTATAGTAATAAATAATTGAGCACATGAAAGTTCATGAGGATTTGTCAGATGTAGAATGTATGACAGACAGGATGAGGAACTTAATTGTTTAGCAGAGTAGAGGAAAGACTCAAATGGAAAATTATTTAAGTCATCAAATACCAGAGTTCTAATGTAAAGGGGATGATCTGTTCTCTCTGATGGATCAGACAGAAAGCACTAGGCTTAACTTCTTATGAGGAAGATTAGGACCAGGGGCAGGCAAGAGCCTTGTGATTGCCAGACAAGTCCAGAGTAGTGAGGCAGGTCTGAGGTCAAGGCAGAAAAACAAGTCAGTAGGTCATGGTTAAGAACAGGATCAGCAAGATTCATGTCCAGGCACAGGTGTGCCGGCAGCGCACCCTAGGCAAGAGCCTGAGCTCAAATGCAGCTCCTGAGCCGAAGGATGGAGGCCCTGGCTGAGGCATCTTCCAGTTCTTTTCCCAGCAGTCACACCCCAAATTGCAACACTGCGGTGTACGGGATTGGATCCTCACTGTGGGCAGGTGAATGAAGCCCTTGGGAGAGCAGGGAAGAGTTGCAAAGCCCATTGGCATGATTCAGGCCCTGACATTGAGTTAGATATTAAGAAAACATTTGATGAGGAGAATTACTGTGTTAGCAGTAATTAGCATTAGGTGTTTTTCTTTTCAGAAGGGGAACTGGTTGACTTGTCCATGGTAGCTCACAGTCATATTTCCTGTGGTGCAGGCTAATAGAAGCTATGCTAAGACAAAAGTACTCACCCCACCTGTTGCCAAAATTGCCCCAGTTAAGTGGCCCTTGAGGGTTTTTATTTTTATTGTTGGTTTCTGTGTTTTTCTAGGTTTCCTCTTTGGGATTCCTGTAATCCTGCACCTTGTTACTGCAAGTTAGTCATAGGTGCACATTTTGCATGTGCTGACAGCGTTGGGAAAGGAAGCAGTATTTAAGAAAAAATCTCATCTAGTTCTCAAATAGAACATGCAGAATTAATTGACAGACAAAGCATTTGTGGCTTAAATTGGTCTTCAGTTGCTATACAGAGTCAGCGATAAAAATATCTTTTCACAGAAATACAAAGTTATTTAGCAAAACCTATGTGGAAGTAAATTCTGTGTTTGTGAAAAGTCTTCATACCTTAAATAATAGTGGCTTTCTCACACTGAATATTCAGTAAGCTTAATTATGCTGCTATGGTTCCATTAAGGAGGAAATCAATTACCTCCCTCCTGATTCATAAACTCAGTTGTTTAGACAATTTTTCAGGTTGGAGTAGCCTTTGACTCCAACGTGATCTCTGGGGATGTAGTATCTTCAATGCAGATGATATTCAGAAAGATCTTATCAATGTTTCAACTTCCTAAGCAGCAGCTTTCAGATGCTTTTACCTGCACTAACTTGAAACTTTTTGAGAGAGGAAGAGTGAACTCTTAGATTATTAAAGAAATTAAGTCCTTTCTTGGAGCATGGAAGTGGTGTTTTTGCAACAAAACTGTTAATATTATTCTTACTTATTTTTCATCCTGTCTGGCATAAAAAGGCAAAAATGGTGTGTGAAGACTGTGCTAAGGGCACTAGAAGACTTTATCCCAAATTAGGTTGCTTTTGGCAGATGAATGATTTGACAGTGGAGGAGTGTAATTTGTTGCAGAAGAATGCTAGTAACTATCATTGCTCTCCTCCCATTTCCTGTTGGAACACAAAAAGATTATAAAGAAAAATCTGAAGTGCAGCATAGTAGGAATATCTCTAATAATTATCACAATCACAACCTTTTGAAATTGTACCCCATAGCATTACAATTATTTTCGACACTATGTTCTTCAAAATAAAAATATCTCTTAAGAGCCTTTACTCTTGGAGATGGCCTGCTTTGACAAAGGCAATATTTAAATTGCTGCCACATGCCAACCAGTAAATTCAGTCTTCCATTTCCCTAGCTTCCAGTTTAGTGCAAACATTCAGGAACTGTCCAATTGTTCAAGATCTATAAAGTTACTACGTGAACTTTATTCTCTGCAGGTAACTTACAACCCTCTTTGAAGACGGTTAAGACAGCAGAACACTTCAAGGAGGACAGTTCAGAAGCTTCAAGTCAGGAGGAAGGTAGTTGTGTACTCAAAGGTGGTTCTTGGAGATATTTTACCACAATCAGTTCTGAAAATCATACACTTGACTGATTTCTCCATTGGTATAAAGTGGTACAAAAATTGAATTAAATCTGCTATGCAAATGAAGAATTTTTGTGTACTTTCAGCAGTTTCCTTAAGAGGTTGTTCTATAACTCAAGAAGTGGCAGCATTCATAGACTGCTCAAAGGCAGAAGTTCACAGCTGTGTTGAACAACCAGGAACATATACCTCACAATTTACATGAGCCAAGATTATTTATAGACTTTCATGTCTTTACCTATTTATTCTTCAGTTACAGGGTTCAGAGTTAAGTGCAGTATTTCAAGGGTATTTCAAGACTAGTTCAAGACTGTTTTATCATTAAATATGCCAAATTTGTGTAGCTTGTAATTTGACACAGAAGAGAAGTTGAAGTTTTCCTTTTCTTGTTCTTAACCTATGTTGCTTTGATACTCTGGACGGTTACTGAGGTTGGGACTGTAGTGAATGTTGATTACAGTCTGAAAGCTTGTGTTTTTTAAATGCCTCAAAAACAGTTCACACATGGAAGCAGCAGCCTGGTGACTGGTCAGTAATTTCATTCTGAAAGGAACAGCAAGTCAGTTTTGCATTGTTTTTAGAAGGAAGCAAGTACAAGCTCCTGGTAGGTGGAAAGAACGGGAAAGGGGACTGATGGGTGAACACAGACCACTGAACACTTATGCTGGCTTTCAAGTAATGGCAGCACTCTTATCCTCTTTCACATTAATAATTCATTAGAAGTTTGCTGTTGAATTTCTGTGGATTCAGTAATCTACATATGCAGTTTGAACAGCTTTTTCTTGTGTTGATAATCATTGCCATATTCTTAAGAGTTCAGAGCACACCAAGTAAATTTACAATCTATTACCCAAATAGTCTTTTAAATACCGCTCTTAAAAATACATAAATCTCTTCATCTGGTGAAACTACAAATGCATTTCAGAACACCTTTTGTGCCATTTTAGTGGTTACCAGAAGTTTAAAAATAATTTTTTTTCTCAAATTTTTAAACTAGAATTTGAACTTAGGTGTAGCATTGACAGGAGTTCAGGCAAAATCCTAAGTACCAAGAATACTAAGATCATCAATAGTTGGAATTAAGGAAAGTTGCCTTTGTTAAAATGTAACAGTTACCTTAAAAAACAGGGTAGACTATATCACTGAAATTCTCAGTTTTTCTTTGTAGACTCTTAAAATGGTTTGGGTTGGAAATCTTAAAGTTCCAAACCATCTGCCACAGGCAGGGAATCTTCCACCATACTGGGTTACTAGGAGCCCCACCCAGCTGAGCCTGGAGGCTGTATCTCTTTTTGCCAGGTGTAATTTGCAAAGCTTTACTTTCCTAGTGAATTTTCAGGTTCAGAATGCAGTACTTTAGTGTAGGACTTGTCTTCGTTTGCTAGTTGGAATGTGTGACATAGTTTTGAGATTAATTTCAGTATTCAGAAGAAATAACAAAATGTTGTATTTTTTCTGATTCATTCCTTTCTTCTCTCTCTGATCTTTCATTCTGGGTGATACTCAGTCATGCATTCAGTGCTTAGAATTAAATACAGAGGTGAGCCAACATTGGCATTGTCATAGTTCCTCTCTTTCTGTTTCATTCTTCTGTGAAATGGAAGGTAAAGAGTCTTGTTTATATAATCTATACAAATTGATTTCTCTTCTATGCAACACTTGCTAATTTCAGCACTGTAAGTTAAGCCTGACCTGTTTAATGGAGATGTCTTCTGCTATGTGCCTGGTAGTTATGGAAAGATGAATTTGCTAGATTGATTTAAAAGATTAAATGGAATGAAATTGAAATTATGCTTTGGGTTTTTTTCCAGATGTAATGCAGCACACAGCAGTTCACAAGAAACATAATGGAAAAAGTCCTGTTGCCAAGTAAGTACTAGGATGTAATGTGACCATGTTACATGTCTGAACTTCCATTTGTTGGTGCTTTGAGAGTATGTGTCCTTCTAGATTAAAGCTTCTTTGTGGAGCTTTTCTTTGTTTGTGGTGGGCTGTTCTGGTCTAATTTTTATAATTTAGGAGGTTTTTATTAACTTCTGAACTATTAGAAAAATAGTTCAGAAGACCCTATTTCTAAATCTGTAAATGTAAGTCATTTGGATAGCTCTTCTTTCCCAAATTTTGTGGATCTTTGCAATTTGAATTGATGTTTGATTTGTGTTTATAAGATATGCCATTATTTGTATGGCGTGTATCTTTCCTACGTGCACATACCCCCATGCTTGTACTGAAACTCTCCAGTGCTATTGATTTGAAGGCTAGGAAACCTCAAAGAGGAGCTTATAGGAAAAGGCAGTCCATTCTTGCCCTTGCTTACTGGCAGGTGCACGCACACCTCTCTGGTTTGTGTCCATTGTAAGTGGAAGCAGTTCCTAACCATATTAAAGTAGTTTATATATGCCTTCAGATTCCTGGAGTACCTAATGTGAATTCACTCATTAAAGTATTTTGATTAAAGACTTCAGGTATGTTTGCACATAGTTGTGCATAATTCAACTAAATCAAGGGAAAGGAATGGATACAGAATTTATTGTGATTTACAATTTTGTTCACTGTTAATTTGCCTGTAAAAGGTATTTATCTTGTAGCAAAAGTTTACCTGGAATTCCAATAATTAGATACAAACATAACACAGAACAGTGTTGGTCAACGTCTAGAGATCTTTACCAGACAAAATTCTTGTGAACTCACCACAAGACAACTTATTGCTTTTTGTCTGTTTTGGTTGTAAACTGTCCTACTTTCAGCTTATATTTCCTCCAGAAAAAAGTGTAAACTTGACAAAATCTTATAATCAAGATGATTATAACGGTGGATATACAGTCTACTACAAATTTATCAGATCAGGATCCAAATTTACTAGCTTATGGTTATTCATAAAGAAATTGTCTTTTTTTTTTAGTCATTGTATAATGAGTTACACTAAGGCTGACCATGGTTTAGGATCTGTCTTTCAGGTAGGAAGAGACGGACAGACATTTCCACAAAGTTCTGAGAAAGAAGCTTCTTTAGCTAACTATTATTTTCTGTTTATCTAAGAGGGGGAAATATATGTACTCCTTGCCTGCTAGAGGTCTGTTAGTCCTTTCCTGTTTGGTTATGTGTCTGTCTCCTTAAAATCTATGCCTTTTGTTTATGGGTTTGTAAAGAAATGGCACTGAATGGAACTTTTCTGTTATAAATACGCATAAAGCTGTTTAGAGTCACAAGCAGTTCATCTCAAATAGCATTGGTACATTGTGCATCTGTCTGCCTCTTGTTTTCATTCAGTATTGCAGCCTTACTCTTGAAATTACTGGTAGCAATGAGATCACACATAGAAAACAAAAACTTTAGTAATGTTACAGTTTCCATTAAATGACTGCAAATTTGGCAGTGAAATAATTTACCTCCACTTGGCATAAGTTTCTAAAGTGACCTTACTTCTGTCTTTGCAATCAGGGGTTTATGTCTGTCTTTTGGGACCTTGGGTTCTTGCCATTTTCTTAATTTTTTAAAAAATATTCTGTTGTGTGTCTTTTAAGTAGTTTGAGCCCTTACTCACAGAGATATTTGGTAGGTAGCTACTGGAATTTGAGCATGTCTTGTGCTTTCCAGTAAGCTGGATTTGTGCCATCATGGAGCTGAGTAGCATTTCATATTGCAGTAACTTTTGTGAAGCAGCTTGCCAGCAGCCCTGAATTAAAAGGCACTTTCAATTATCAGTATAAGTATTTAAATAAGAATTTAAAAGTGTTAACTCCTTTTTTCTTTTTCTCTTTTGCATCCAACCTGCAGTAAGGCATAATTTTGTATGAGATATGAAAAGGTTATAGGTCCTTGTTCCTTACTGACTTTGTCAGGACCCTGACTATTTTCCAGCAGCTTTAGCTGACCAGTGGTCTCAGACCTAGTTCAATATTTCTTCTGACTGGCTGCTGTAGAGCAGAGCTTCAGTGGAAATCACTATAAAGTCCAAAGTAAATGCCAAGTATAACTCCCTTCTCCCAGCACTACTCAAAACTAGCATTCCTGGAGGTAAAAATGCAAAGCAAGATGACCATTTCAAAATTGAAACAAACACAGCTGCAGTGTGATCTGTAGTAACTGTGTCTCCATTCTTTAAATATCTCATGAATTCTGAAACAGGGTTTAAAAAGTAATTCCAGCTTTGTCATTAATGATAAGGAAGAAAGAAGATAAATTCAGACTACATTTCTGTCTGGAAAATTGCCACATGTCTTGTATGAAAATAGCAAAGTTTTTGTGTTATAGAAATATCCAAGGAACCTCTGCCCTCAATTACTGTTTTCTACAAACTCTGTTGTTATGAATTTTGCATCAAATTATAGTAGACAAATGAAAAAAGAACTCCAGTTATGATCAGATCATAACTTTAGAGCACAAGAACTGCTGTAATTTAGGTCTTTTAAACCTCTTGAAAATTCCTACGGTTTTCTGAAAGCAAAATTTCCCAACATGATGCAAAATATGTATGTTGATAAGACAAGCCTGCGAGTTTGTTCACATCAACATAACTTTTGGGGCATTGTTTTTTCTTTTCAGCAGCACTAGCAGTGCGAAATGTTCTTCACTGGATAGCCTTAACATTCAGCACTCGGAGCAGAATGGGGTAATGGACTGGAGGAGGAAAAGCTGTATTGTCCAGCAGCACCCAGAGCACTGTACTAACCTACTTGACCAGGTGTGTTGCTGTTTATTCTTTAAAACCATATTCCGAGAAACCTGAGAAGATTGTCCACTACACGTGATGAGATTTAGCTTTAAAAGATGACAAGTGCTCCTAATATTGTACAAAATAAGTGTTGAAGTTGCTACTGACTTACCTTGATTAGAAAATCCTTCATAATTCCTTACCAGACTCTCAGAAAGCTGAATATTTTGTTTATGAATTGGTAAATAAATTCCCCAGGAGAATGTAAGTAATCAGAAAAGTCTAATGTTAATTTCTGATCAGGCACTTTCCTATTACTTTAGCATTGTCATCAGAGAGGATTCCAGAATGCCTGGGCAATTTCTGTTATTGCAAGGAACAAACTAGAAACAGTATTAGTAGCTAAACTGTATTAATGCTACAGTAGGTACAATAGGTTAAACATATTCTTTCTGTCTTACCTGCATTATTTAAGTAATAATCTTTGAAAAAAGTTAATAGATCGATGCATAAACACTTTTTCTGGGATTTGTGTCTCTTCAATGCTCAATCTCATTATGACTATAGATAAGCAGAATAATTATTTATAAATAAAATTATCTACTACTGAGTTTGGGAGAAGGAAGCTTGCTCACTGCTTATATATGAAAAACACTGAGTGTTAGAATTGTTTGATATTGCTCTAATTTATGTTTGGAATTTGGCTATTGATTGTTATGTATGGAATAGCGAGCCAAACAAAAATAGTTTCCTTTTTTGATAAAGCAGGGTAGTGAATTGAGGTTGGCTTCTGAACATGAAATGGTAGGCTGCATCAAAGTTTGAAACACTGCAAATTTGAAGCAAGAAAAAGCTTAATTTACTAAAGCAAAGGAAAAGCTATTTAAAGGAAGTCCAAATACAGTGATTTGGACGGTGATTGTTTCAGAATTTTCATAAATTTTACTTCCTTGCCAAATATGAGTTGTTAATGACAGTTATTGATAGCGTACTTTAAAAATTGTTTTTTCTTATGTGTTTGTATGCTGTATTCTGGAGTTCAGTTTAGTAGCTTAAACCTCCAGTTTAAGGCTAAGTACCTGCTTGTCACTATGTAGAAATAATTTGTCACATGTATTTCCCTCACCCAACTATCAAATAATTCCATTTATAACAACAAATTTTATAGCTCCTTAAGGTTGGTGATCGGCCTTTTTAGCAGGTATGTGATGAAACACATTTGTTTTTATCCTCGGGAGGAAGAACAGCATGCAAACAATAATTTGATTGATATCTCTGGCCTACTTGCAAGTAGTAATTTGCTGAATGTTTTGCTGATTCTCGTGTAAACACAAGACATGACACATTATTTTATAGGCTCAGATGCACTGAACAAGTGGTTCTTTGAGTGGTTATAGCACCCGTGAGCCCACTACTCTTGGACTTGTGGACCTGTCAGTCTAGAAGAGGTGTTGTCTTGGCTTTCATAATTGTTTGACTGGTGTCTTTCTGTTTTCTGCCTAGCACACAGTGGAAAAACGGAGTCTGTCTGCAGTAAGCAAGAAGAAAGGAAAGCCACAGCTGGAAAAGTAGGTTTCTAATGTAACTGGTAATCCAGAAATGAAGTGTAATGCATTCACTCTGATAAACAGTGTCTGCAGTCAATTAGGTGCTTTCATTTGCTGTGCTGGCACAAGAGCTGGCATGGTGTGAGGCAAGGCTGCATAAAAATCCTTATTTTATATTCTGTAAAGAAGTAACTTGAAAAATAGAATTTTAAGTGAATGCATTAATTTCTCAAAATAGCACTTGGCATTTAATAAAAAGATGAAGGAGTGGAAGTATATTCCTAATCATATCGCCTTTTCCCCTTTATATTTATTTGAAACTCAAAAGATGTAAAGCTGTCCAGAATATACTGAAAATCAAATGAGGGTTGACAGCAGCCTTTAACATTATGAAGTGGGTGATAACTGGCTGAAATGTCTTAATGAACATAATTTGCACATCAGAGGGCTTCAGAATTTCCTGCAGGCTACACAGCTCTGCACTGTGAGAAGTGAAAGCACTTCGACCCTTACCTACTACTCTGCCTACTTCCAAGTTTCCAGATGCTACTATGCTAGACCGGTGTAGGGCTGCATTACACACATCAGCTTTCAAAAATTACTTTACTGTTTGGTGCACCTATTCCTTTTCGGTATCTTTTCTTATATAGATCTTCATTCATAGTGTTTAGTAATGCTGCTTATAGCTTAATTGCTGGTATATTGCACCAGCAGCCTCCATTTAATTGTTTATTATTTGTTGTTATATCTATTAAATATGCATTTCTGGCTTGGAGTCACTGCCTTTGTTTCCAGTGTCATTCCATGTTCATTCATGGTTGGTTATTTGTGTACTCATGCATTTGCAAAAAAGCCATGAAATTATTTACACAGGGAGAAAGCAAAGAAAACTGACTGCAGGTTGACTAACAGGAGCAATGGAGTTCGAGTTGCAGCATCGCAGCACATCCGTACTGGGACAGCAAAAGGTAAGGTGCTTTTTCCAAAGCTGTTAGTAAGAAACAGAACTTGTAGCTGATTTTTTTGAGGCATTCTGTAAAGGGGAAAGCACAAGTCTGAAAAATGTTCTGGTGCAAGTTGGTATATTGGCAGCCTAATTTGTGCTCTGACTTGCTGTACAGAATGTGCTAGGCTCAGTCTTCTGTATCCAATTGCTTGGAGTGTGTCTTCTGGTGCATAGGTGGCAAAATACTTGTCAAGTCTGCATAAGTCAGCTGATGGGGTGGAGTAATTGCAGCAACAGCTACTGTTGGGCTACTTCCATATGAAATTCAGCAGTCTGAGTGTGTGGACATGGAGCATCTTGCCATTAGTGTGCTCTTTGCAGCCTACTAGTTTGTTCATCTGTTGTGCAATGGCCCACAAGAAACCTGTCTAAAACCTGTGGTGTGAACCATTGATGAACTGTAGTGTTTATATCAGGTGACCACTGAGCTACCACACAGAACTGTGTATGCTGCCCTAGCAGGGTCATCAATTTAGAGTAATCCTAAATGGAGTGTCTAGGCCAAGACTTGTGTACATCAGTCAGTTGTAAGAAAAACTTATATTTGTGTTCCTTTAGTAAACTGAGTCTTCAAGCTTTATTACAAATTTCTGTAGTCTGTGCTACCCATTGACTTCGCCATCTTGATGTTTTCTGAATTCCCGCTATCAGTTGTGACCTTGCCTGTCTTACATGTAGTTCTTGGGATGGAAGGTTGACAAAGAGTTTGCCTTTTTTTACACCACCTAATTGGCCTAAGTGTTGAAAGGACTCTTAAAAGTGCCTTGTCTTTCTGTTGCTTCCATTTGTGATACAATCTTGATTAAGCTTTCATTCTTTCTTCTCACTGCTTCTCACCTTGGAGAGTTCCAGCTAGATCCAGTTCGGAATTATTGCTGTGTTTTATGGGCAGGTGTTTTTACCTTCTACAAACAGCATTTGAGTAAAACTTTTAAGAACTCACTGTTCACAAACTTAGCAAAACTAGAACCATTTTGGAAAGCTATAGTTAAGGGCCGTTAAACAGAAAACATACTCTACAGCAGAGCTGTGCTGCATGCATTTCTGATTGATTACTGTTTTTGTTGTCAGGCAAAACGCACTGAGTTTTATGAACTGACAATGACTTTAGGAGGTCATGCAATGGTGTGTAAGAGGAGACCTTATCACTCTCTACAGCCACCTCAAAGGAGGCTGTAGCCAGGTGGGGATCGATCTCTTCTCCCAGGCAAACAGCAACAGGACAAGAGGACACAGACCTAAGCTGTGCCAGGGGTAGTTTAGGCTAGGCATTAGAAAAAAATGAATCACAGAAAGAATGACAGGGCATTGGAATGGGCTGCCCAGGGAAGTGGTGGAGTCACCATCCCTGGACGTGTTTTGAAAAAGACTGGATATGTGGCATTTGGTATCATGGTTTAGGTGGTGCTAGGCATAGGTTGCACTTGATGATCTCAGAAGTCTCTTCCAACCCAGATGATTTTCTGATTCTGCAAAGTTAGTAGTGAATGTTTTTCCATAGGAGTTCTGTTTGTTCACTACCCACCACTCTACAGATGTGAAACTGCCTCCTGTGAAATGGTTGGCCAGTTCAAAAAGAAGCTGTAACCCACAGAGGCTGGAAGCCATTAAATCCTGCTCAAAGACGAGCTTTCAACCCACATATAAACATCAAAACGTCTTTTGAGATACTTATTGGAGAAATAGTCTATGGGGAAAAATAACGATCTGAATCTCTGCCTAGGTTTATATATCCAGGCTTGGTTTGAAGTGCCCTATTTTGAGTCTGTAATTCTTAACTGCATCATGTTTTCTTTCATTGTTAACTCCCTATTTTGAGCTTGTCTGAAGCATTAGTTAGTTACAATGGTAACTTTTAAGACTGGATACTTTGTGATTAGCACTTTACACTCTGGCTCTTAGTGATCCCAGGTTCACACAGAGGCTCCAGTTTATATTAGATGTTCAAAGTACTTCTTAAAATAATTTAAGCAATTATGAGTTTAATATAGGAAATTATTTCAAGAATTGAAGCATTCAGGCAACTTTTTAGTGAGCCATCCCAACCTGTTAAACTTCCGGTAGCAATAAAAAATGGGGGAAAATTATTTTATTTATAAATTATTATAATAATTAGTGGTCTAATTTTTGTACTGAGGTTTTGCTAACCAAGGTTTTGTGGGCTGGGGTTTCCAGCTTGTGTCTGTCACAGATTGTGAGAGAGGCTGCATTTGTCATTTTTCTTCCCCTCTGAGGCTGTGCTTGAAAGCCAAACCATAGTAGCTACCCACCCTGAAAGGTGGTTTCCAGCAAAAGAGTGTCCCATGATCCATTCAGAATTTAGAAAACAGTTAACCACTTTTCTTTAAACAGGATTTGTTGTTGATAGAGTTTGGTTAAAGCCTGTTCTAGAAGAGTGAGTTGTGAAGTGGTGCATTGTTTTGCCATGTCCTGCTGAGTTAGCTTCCTGCCTGTGCTGGTGTCACTGAGGAGCGCTGCCAGTGGAAATGCTGGATCGCTACTGTTCAGAGGAAATCAGTGTTGTACTGCAGTCCAGCATAAACATCACAGGAATCATTCAGGATCATCATTCTTTTCACTGCTATGCATAAATACCAATTTTCAGTATCATCTTCTTTAACACCAAGGATTCACTCATCACAAATTTAGGGAAGAGACCAGTCCTGAGTGCTGGGAATGGAAATGATAGGAATACAGGGGGCAGATGCATTTAAGTAGAAACAGGCAAAAATCTCAACTAGTGGGAAAGTTGAGAAAACCAAAATAACCTCACTTCCATACACTGAGATCTGACAACTTTTATTTGTAGATCTGAATTTGGATGCTGGATCTGGTCATGATACGTGTGGAGAAACATCGTCTGAAAGTTACAGCTCTCCTTCTAGTCCACGACATGATGGGCGGGAAAGCTTTGATAGTGAAGAGGAAAAAGACAGAGGTTGTATTTATGGAGAGTGTGCATGAATGCCTTTATTCCCAGACTAATCTCTTTATTACATTTATTTTAGTTCATTTTTTAGTTTGATTAGGTACTTTGTTTTCTGAACTAGCCACAGAATACATTTTTCTTTGTGGATTTCATGACTGGGCATTTTGAGGGCTTCTAGCACTGTTTTAATACCACTGAGTTCTAGGTAACTAAACATATGTCATAATTTTTTGGCCTCCGTGATACAGCTCTCTTGAGAAATTTCCACAGTACAATAATGTGGAAAATTTTGGCCTGAAAGGGGCTGGGTTTGTATGAAATTATGGGTGGCATGTCCGGGAGCTCCATCTTTTTGTACTGACAGTTTGCCACTCCTTCCAAATTTAAATAATCTCTGTTAATATCTTTCTAGACAGATGCAAATTCCTAATTCATTCTGTGTCCTACTCTTTACATTTGCAGATGTGCACGAGTCAAAGACACAGTAGCTAGTTGGGCAGGGAGATATAGACAAGTCATGAAGATGGACCTAGCTTAATTTGGATGAATGAAAAGAATCTCGAAGTTGTCACAGTTTGGGAAGACATAACTATCATTCATGTCATCAAACTCGATAGGTTTTATATGGGTAAATGGGTCCAGGGCATGCTTCTCTGTTGCTTGAGGTTCATTCTTGTGACTGACAAATGCTTTTGTCCCCACAGATACAGACAGCAATTCGGAGGACTCTGGGAATCAAAATACAACCAGGTTTACAGGCTACAGTGCTGTCAGTTCATCAAATACGAACAAATCATCTGCTCAGATCTCTTCAGTGAATAATGAAAATGGGAGCCTTTCAGAAGATCCTTTGAATGCAAAGTTTCAGCATATTTCCTTCATGCCTGCCTTACACTGTGTGATGCACAGCGCTGCCCAAAAGCCTGAAGCAGTTGTCCCACCACCCATATCTGCAGATGGTAAAACCATGGGAATGCTGGTTACCACACCTGTCGCTGTCTCACCGGTGAGAGAGGCTGCGAATTCCCCTCCTGCGGGAATGGGCCCGGTGACCTCTGGTGAACCTGAGAAACGCCTTGAGCTCATGGCTTCCCCTTTGCCAGTCCCATCCTCTTTCCTTCCACATTCTGTCCAGCCTGGTAGCCCTGCTTTGCATTTGGCAATACATAGGTTGAAAATCCCCTCTCCACAGGGATCATCAGAAAGTTGCACAGTTAACGGACCACAGCAGCCGACAGGAAACTTAAGTATTGGATCACCAAATACTGCCTTTATCCCAGTCCACAATCCAGGTAGTTTCCCAGGATCCCCAGTTCCTACTACAGATCCCATCACAAAACCTGCATCCCAGGTGGTAGGACTGAATCAAATGGTGCCTCACATTGAGGGAAACCCAGGAGCAATCCCTCAGCCTGCCAATCTCAAGGTAGTTCTTCCAGCAGCTGGTCTCTCCACAGCAGCAGCACCACCTCCACCAGCTTCGTACGCTTTGCCAGGCAGCCCTCACGCTACCAGCGTGTTGCCCAACCAGAATACAAACGTGCTGAGCACTGGAGCAACTTCCTCACCTCCTCAGTCCGCTGGCCTCGGTGTTGGTCAGGTCCAGTCCACTGTTCCTCCTGCAATCCCGACACACACGCCAGGCCCTGCCCCCAGCCCGAGCCCCGCTCTAACACACAGCACTGCACAGAGTGACAGCACATCCTACATAAACGCTGTTGGGAATAATAACACTAACGGGACAATGTTACCTCCGCAGCAGCTGGGATCTGGCCCTTGTGGTTCTTGTGGACGTAGGTGTAGCTGTGGGACCAATGGCAGCCTTCAGATTAATAGCTATTTTTATCATAACCCACTTCATGGACAAGTCTACAGAGTTCCATCTTTCTTCACTCTGCCATCACTTTGCAATGGCAGCTACCTCAATCAAGCACATCAAAGCAATGGAACACAACTTCCGTTCTTCCTGCCTCAGTCTCCGTATGCAAACGGGCTTATGCATGACCCAGTGATGGGAAGCCAAGCCAACTATGGTATGCAGCAGATGGCAGGATTTGGGAGGTTCTATCCTGTATATCCAGCACCTAACGTAGTTGCCAACACGAATGGGTCGGGACCCAAGAAGAATGGGAACGTTTCATGTTACAATTGTGGTGTAAGTGGACACTATGCGCAGGACTGTAAGCAGTCATCCATGGAGGCCAGTCAACAAGGTAATCATGATAACTCCCAGAGGACTTGCTTTTGAGTTTGGTAGTTTCTCTTTACCTTTCTGAATGTGCTGTTTCTGGTCTTGCAGAAAGGTGTGCGTGCGTGTGTATGTTTCGTGTAAATGGTTGTGCACTAGTGACCTGCTCTAAAACTGCAAAGTATCCTATCTCTGCCTGAAAATCTTGTAGAACAGTGCGAGGGAACGGGGCTCACAGTGTGAAGTTAAAAATGGGTTCAGAGCTGGAAAGTAAAATGATACCAGTCCTAAATTGTCATTGTTTTTTCACTGGTTTGGTTTTGGCATTATGTCGAGACTTGCATGTTGTTTCAATTTTCCCATTCCCATTCAATGGGGTGCTTTTTGAGGGAATTCATTGGCAAAAAGAAATCAGTTGTTGTTTATGATATGACCTTGGATTCCTTAAACTTCTGAGAATTGAAAGAAAAACCAATAGACTGGCCATTTGATATTTAGCATTTTCTAGGGCTTACCTTTGCACAATCAGCCATCCTTCTGTGCCCCGTCATGCAATACATTTAACTTTTCAGACAAGTTGCAGCAAAAAGGTAGAAACTGATTGGAGCTAAATATAAAAGGAATAGCTCCCATTTCTCTCTCCGTCCAGAAGAATGGGGAAAATGCAGGGTTTGCATCAAGCACAATCTATTTTTGATTCTTGCCCTTGTTCCCATTCTGACTTTAGTAGTTTGATTGGACCGGAACAGGAAAGATGAACCTTGAGGGGACCATCTTTTCATTTTTCCAGTAGAGCTCAAGTACTATATCTACACTCTTATCTTTTTTTTTAAACTTACAGTTCTAGCAAGAGGATGAAAGAAAATAGGATTAAGTCTGAGGACCTACTTTAAAAGGACTGGAGGATGATAGTGCCTTTTGAAGAGCATGTCCATTTTGATACCTTGTAGTGGTTTTGTAATCCATTTTAATTGTGAGCAGTGACTTAGTAGTTCTCTTTCCTGTTTTAGGCACTTACAGACTGAGATACGCACCTCCCCCTCCCCCTTCCAATGATACCTTGGATTCTGCAGACTGAAACAAGTAAACATTGCCTACTTAAAGTGAAGCTTGGGAAACTGGGGGAAGGTGTGTGTGGGAGGGGGAGGTTGGTCTTGTGTTTTGGGACATTCCCGGTTTTATATTCTTTTGGAATTTTTCATTGCTTTTGCACCTCTGTTCCGTACAAAAGAAGAAGGCTGAGTCCCTGGTCTCCTCCTGGTTCTACAAGAGGCTTGCCTAATGCATGTAATTCACACACACAGCCAAACAATCAGACAGAGCATTCGAACCATGCTTTTGCACTGAAGACTTGAGACATGTGCAATGTTTACTGCAGTTTTAAAAAAATTCCTCTGACCTCTGACATCACTGGTGGAGCAGTCACATGGTGAAAGAAGAAACTTGGTCATGTTCCCCACCACAATCTTCTTCCCTCCCTCCCTGTTCTCCTTATGCTGCTGTTTTCTTTACTTTCCTTGGTTGTCCACATGGATTCATTGGACTTGCATGAGTGTTTAGCAGTTCATACAGACCCTGCCCGTACTCTAAATTTAATGCTCATGAATTGAGAGGAGATGTTCAAACATCCTATTAGCAGAGTCCAAAGGAAAACATGACAGTGTATGTGTACTATACCTGATAATAATACAGATACGCAGCTCTCGAGGGGCCCAAACAAATGAAAATACATAGAGCAGGAAGGGGCTGAAACTGTGTGGACTGGAACAGATTTAGAACAATGAACGAGCTTAAATTGACAGATTTTTCTTCCCTTGTAGCTTTTTAGCCTGTATGTTCAGCAACAAAGGTGAAAAAATGGTATGAATGTTGTACTCAGTGTGTTTGCATTTGTAATGAAAGTTGACAGCATTTTTTCCTTTTTTAAAGCTATTCTACATCGTGTCAACACAGAATGAACATTACTTGATCGAATATTTTTTTCCTAAACTATTACAGTGTTGCATTGTACTTAGAATGTAAATGTTTTATTTCAAACTGAACAAAAGCTATGGTTTTCTACAAAATAGTCAGGTATTAGTATTAGAACCTGTCTACCAAATAGGAAAGTCACTATTTTATAACAATTTACCACTATGCGTAATTACGGTATAATGTGAAAGACTGAAATGAGTGTTAAGATGGTATTAAACATGTCAGTATCATGAGTAAGTAAGTTTAATGCTGCTGTATTTTTTATTTTATTTTTAAAAGCCAATATATGTACTAAATTGCTTCCAGGTAATATTTGATTTCCTAAAGTGCACTGAGGTTATCTGGAAGACGAGTGTGTTTTTTGACTGCTGCATTCAACACCGATGAACAACTACCACTGTATATCCATAAGGTTTGGCATTCCTCACAGTTCATGGCAGAAAAGTTTTTTTCTTGAAATCAGACCCAGTGTCCAGTAGAGGGATGAAATAAAAATCAATCTTTGGTTCAGCTGTCTAATAAATTGCTAAACAAACAAAAAACTTGAAGAAAAAAAAAGCTTGATTACTACATTTCTTCATAGATAGCATTTATATTTATAGCACCAGTGTACATTTTGAAACTTTTTTCTTGGAGGGGGGGGAAGGGGAGGGAGGTAGATGAAAGCTTTAATTTAAAAAAAAAAGTTTAAGTAGTAAATGAAAATTATTTTGATTAAAATTTTTATTTGATCTGGGTATTTTTGGACCACTTGAAATGACTGAACTGCGTTTGAGTTGAAGTGAGGGTGTTAAACCACCAATGGACTTGTATTGTGAATTACCTGCCAGTTGTACTTTATGGAACTTATTTTATGATTTAAAATACTGTACTGTAAATAGGAGGTATGTTACCTTCTCTTTATTTGTATGTTTACCATATACTTTGATATTTGAAATGTACTGGAAAGGTCACTTATATTTCTAGAAGAGATTGGATTTTATGCAACCTTTTTCCTTGAATTAACAGCAATAAAAAAAAAGAAAAAAAGTACCTGTGTGAGTGTACTGTCCTTTATCACTGAGAACGATGAATCACAGCTGCTGGGTGTAGGGATGGGATGATCGAGGTTTTGGCAAGCTACCATTTTGGGTGGAATTTGTCACTTTTGAGACAAAGCCAAGAGTATTTGACTTAAACTGAGGTCAGTCTTGTGCCTGAAGTCAAGATATAATATCTTGATTTAAACTTCTTTAAGATATAGGAAATCTCCTGGTTAGAAACAGGTTGCCCTTGTGTGATAGGCCCAGGACTTGGACCTCATCCCTTTCAGATCAGATAAGCCTATCCTAACCTGATGGCTCCTGGATTTGGGCTAAAATCCAGGTTAAATGTGCTTTTTTGTTGTTGTTTTACTGCATGCAAATAATGTGTGTCCTAGTCCTGTAGTGAAAAAAAAGTGAGACCTTTAGTGAAAAGTGAGATCTGTAGTGAAAAGAAAGTGAGATCTTCTATTTCTAAAATAAATGGAAGGGTGCCAGGAGTTGCCAGGAGTAGGAAAGAAGCTTGGAAAAATTTGCCTGATCAGGGCAGTGGAAGGGTCTGCTAGGAATGCGGTGTCTGGATGTACTCGGGTTGTGCTTAGGAAGAGTACTGAGGACTCTGATCTCACTCTGCTATAAGGAGAACTTCCAATTCCTACTACTTGGCTGCAGTTTATCCATGGAGCCAAGTGCCACAGACTACCTTGGATTTTTATCCCAGATTTTTTTATTCCCTTGGATTTTTTTTTGTCCCAGAACAACCTACTTCTGGAGAAACCAGTGCAGGTGATGAGGAGGCTGAAAGTTGCCCATGACCCCAACCTTCCTGGTAATTCCTATAATCACGGTGGTGTATTGAACCCAGGAGTCACACAGACACCATCACTCAGTTTCCATTACTGCAGGTGGCCCATGTCCCTTCTCTGGACTGTAGGGAGTGCAAATACCTGTCCAAGGAGTTTGTAAATGGTGATACTACTCTGAAAATCCCATCTCCTGCTTTCAGTGCCATCTTGAGTTGCTGGTACGCTCCTTTGTCTCCATACTGCAAGCAGCCTTGCCTTTGACAGATCATGGCTGGACTCAACTCAGAAGTGTGAAAATACATTCCCTGTGGCACAGCAAACAGCAGAAACACCTCACACTTGTGGTGCTGGATTTGCTGGAGAGCTGACAGCACTTGTGCCTGGCTGTCCTCACTTCTCTGGCTGCACCACTGCTGTCTGTGCAATCAGGTTTCACTCCAGCTGCAGCTCCAGAGATTCTCCCTCCCGCGGAGTGGCTTGGATGCTGCTGAATGCCCGAAAGATAAATGAGAAAACCCACTAGTTGGTTGGCCTGAGCAGCTATCCAGGCTGTCCAGGAGTCACTCCTGAGTACTGTGCTCCTCCTGGTTTGCAGTGCTGCTCTGGATTGGAACCATTTGGTTCCTAAAGCTGGAAGAAAAAATGAATAATGAGGCAGGCCTGGGGAGGATGGGAAGGAGGGAGCTGTGGCTGAACAGATGGCCTCATTTTCCCAGCTGAGTGACCTTTGGATGGTGGGGATGGCCTAGTGCCTGTGTCTTGGCTTAGCTGATACTGCTGGAGAGGTGAAGGAACAGAGCATCTCTGTGTTCTGCCAAGGCAGAGGGGGAAGTAAAAAGGTGGGGAAAGGTACATTGAGAACTGCAGAACTTGGCCAGTGCCGAGCTACTTCAGTTTTAGAGAGATGTAAGTACTCTTGTAGTTTGTTTCAGCTTTGCTCATGGTGTGAGCCTCTGGAGGTGTGCTGGACTGGGCCTCCTGAGGCTGCTCTCCTGAAATAAGTTTGCCTAAATGCTGCACACAGGAAAAACAGAGTTTCCTGCTCAGGGCTGGTGACTGCAGCTGCTGGAATCGGGCACAATAGATATAATGGCCACATGGACTGCCCTTGTGCTTGGGGGAAAGAAGAGGGGCCCTAAAGGCGCAGTCGTGTGTTTATACTACAGCTCAAGTGCTGTCTCAGTTTTGTGGAACCAACCTATAGCCCTGTGCTCCTTGCATGAGGGAGGAAGGAAAAGTACATCTCAGAGCAGGAGCACTTTGCCTCTCTGCCCATGGCTGCATTCCTCGACCTCTGATCCGAGTAGAGAAGCAGGGTTCTCATTTTGGACCAGCTTTTGAGCTGACTGCAGCAGACAGAGCCAAATTAAACTGTGCATGTGGTAGATTAGCGATCAGAATGTATGAACACCTATATTTGGTCCAGCTGAAAGGCCACCTACGCCTGCAGCCTCTCCCCAGCACTGATCGGTAGCAGATATTTCAGAATGAAGTACTTCTAATACAAAGAAGAGAAGGACTAGTGATGATTATTGCAAATGTTAACTAGCAAAGTAACGTGTGTCAGGTTCATCCTCACAATAGGTGGCAGCATAACTCCACCAATGGAATATATGGGAACTTCTGAGGTACCACTTAAGATCACAAAAATCACAGAATTTTCTGCATTGGAAGGGCCTCACAAGGATCGAGTCCAGCTCTTAAGTAATCAAACCCATAACCTTGGTATTATTGGCACCATGTTTTAGCAACTGAGGTAATCTCAGATGCTTCAGTTTAACTTGGTTTCAGCATCCTCATGCCATCTAAGTAAGCTTTGACTTGTGATCCTGTAATGCTAGTTTCTGCTGAGTTTTCTCATGCTTATGTATTTTCTCACATGATGAGCATACTATTGTTACCTCTCAAAAAAATAAGAATGGTAACTGTGTGGCCAGCAGGTTGAGGGAGGTGATTCTCCCCCTCTACTCCTCTATGGTGAGATCCCAGCTGGAGTACTGTCCAGCTCTGGGACAGCTCCCTAACTTAAAAAGGATGTGGACCTTGAGTCCAGAGAAGGTTCATGAAAGATGATTAGAGGGCTGGAGCGTCTCTCCTGTGAGGAAAAGCTGGAAAAGCTGAGAGTGTTCAGCCTGGGGAAAAGAAGGCTCTGGAGAGACCTTATTGTGGCCTCTGATACTTCAAGGATGCCTAACCAGGAAGGTGGTTTTGAACTAAAAGGAGGATGGTTTAGAATAGGAAGAAATTCTTTACTCTCTGGGTGGTAAAACACTGGCATGGGATGCCCAGAGAGGAGGTAGGTGCCCCATCCCAGGAAACATTCAGAGTCAGGTTGGGTAGGGCTCTGAGCAATCTGATCTAGCGGAAGGTGTCCCTACTCATTGCAGAGAAGTTGGAATAGATGACCTTGTGTCTTCCCCAAATTTGCTCTAAACCTGGACACCTTGAAAGGTCCCTGCCAACCCAAACCAGAGCTAGAATAGCCCAGGTGTCATACGGAATATTGAAGACCCAGAGAATTGCAGCTGGATGTGGAAGCTGTGTCTTAAGAACTATTGAGGATTAAAATTATTCTAGAATCTTGCATTCATACAATGAAAATTGCTTTCTGAGCACTCTGAAGGTTTGGGGGGTTTTTTTGTTTGTTTTTTGTTTTTTGGTTTTTTTTTCTGGGAGTAATTCCTGAGGCAGTCTGGTTATCTTTGAGGGTAATGTCTTATCTCTCTCTACTTAGCCTGAAGGTCCACAGATCAGACATTATCTGGAATATCTCATGCTCAGGAACAGATTGCCCTTGAGACAGAACATAATAAAACTATTATTTTTAATATTGATATGTGTTCCCTGACTGGTGTACAGGGTCACTGTTACATGAATGAGTCAATAGCACAAGGTACAAAGGCAGAGGCTGAAAAAAGTGCTGAACTTGAAAAGCTGTATCTTAACCACTTGTGCATTTATCTTGGAACTTTCCTCTGATCTAAAATGTCCATTTTTACTGACTTTTAAAGTATGCTTTTATCCTGAGGCAGAGGATGTTGAAGATGGATACAAAGATAAGGATTAACTCCTACCCATGCTCATTGGTGTGCCTATGGAAAGATGGAGATTGTTGCATTAAAAACTTACTTGCCACTTAGCTTTGGTGTTAAAATACTGCTTAGGAACTTCTTTAAAAAATATGGGATACATAATAAAATATAATTTATATAATCAAACATTACATTAAAATAGTCTTTTACATCATTTGTAGTTTGATGCCATTTCAACATCTTCAGATTTTTTTCTTGTTTTTACCAAAAATAAGATTTGAAACTGATGGCATGTCTAGGCTGAATAAATATAATGTCATAAAAATAATTGTGTTGCTATCAGAATGCTCCTTTCCTTTCTTTAAAATGTTTTTTACAGGATATGCACATGCCTCAGCAAAAGAGCAGACAGCTTAGCAGTCTCAAGATTTCTGGATGAAAGCATCATGGGACTTATTTTAATTGCTCCTTTAAGACCAGATTGGCTCTGAGGTACATCTTGCCAAGGCCTCCTGGGTATTTCAAACCAGGCATGTAAATCCTGGCCTCTGTCAGTGTACAAAATAAAGATCACAGATGAAAAGAGCAGTAACATGAGGAGAGGAGAGCAGGGGAAAGCAACAGCAGCACCAAAAAAATAGGAACAGGCATTGGGGAGAGACAATTTCCACACATCACTTGATTTCTTACCACAGCTCAGATCAATTTCATAGCACAGAACTTCAAAGAGCAACGGCACCAATTTGGTACAAAACCAGCTGAATTCTGCATGTCACCGCAGTGCAGATGGCCAGATGAGACACATGACAGAGGAGATGAGCCCTTCCAGCAGTCTGCACAGGGCTGAGCTATGTGGGCATGGGACAGACTAGAACAATACATTCAAAACCTTATGATGTGTTCATAATTGCTTTGGCTACACAGAGCTCTAGCTAAGACACTCAGAAGAGTGTTGTCTCCCTTTGATTTTTTTTTTCCATTTCTCATTTATGTTTGCTGGGGTTTTTTTCATCTCACTTTTGCCCTGGTTAGCCTTTCTAAGTCTCTTACCCATTTGTGCTAAAGCCATGCACATGATGAAGGTGGCAGAGACTGTAATGTTAGGGTTCATGGCTTAAACATTGTTATGAAGGACATGGAGGGCTACTTGAAATGCTTTAATCTGTGATA